TTGTTTGACTGTTCACTACTCAAAATTGACACTGTTCGAATCATAATTTTGCAAATCTTTGTCTTTTAAGTTTGAATAAAAATATTATGTTCCTGCAAAAAAAATTAAATAAAACATGCTCAATCAAAACAAAAAAATGTAACAGAATTAAAAACAATGGGTTGCCTCCCATGAAGCGCTTTTATTTAACGTCGTTAGCTCGACGACCTGATTCAAACTACAAGTTCCGTGACAAACACTTCCACTTCATTCGCTTTTTCCAACTAAGAAATTTCTTACGAGAAATTCGAAAATTCTCATAAAGATTTCTTCAAATATTTTCCAAATTAAAAATCCTATCGAAAAGAATGGTCGTCAAAACATCTTTTTCACCAAAAAATGATTTCTTCAAACTATTCCTTGATGGTTTCGACTTAATTTTTGGTGTCTACAAAAAGAAAGGCAAATCTTTAGTTTTTAAAGGAGTTAAGAACAAATTTGAATAAACAACTGAAATATTTTTCAACTACCTTATATCATCTTTTTTATTATCCGATTTCCTATATAAATCATCAACCAAGTTAGATTTGTCATCAACAATTTCAATAACGCCAACAAAATTAATACTATGCACGTTATTCGAATATCTCATTATTTTATAAACATCAAATTTTAAGATCTCATCGTCGAATTCCATAGTAAGAATAACGCTTCGAACGTTAATTTTGCATTTACTGTGCTTAGAAAGGGATGACCGAGGAGGATTTCAGAACCAATGTTTCTACGATCATTTTCCATATCAATCACATAAAAATCAACAGGGAAAATTAATTCTTTTACCTCTACTAGAACATTTTCTATGAGTCCTTCAGGATAAATAATTGATTTGTCAGCTAGCTGAAGTGTAACTCTCGTCTCCTTTAAAGGCTTGGTGGAAATTAAATTATAGATGGAGAGAGGCATTACATTGATAGAGGCACCTAGATCGCACATAGCTCGCTTGATTTTAACCTCACCAATTTTACAAGGTATTGAAAACATATCTTGGTCCTTATACTTCGGTGGAAGCGGTTGTTGAAAAACTGCTGAGACATTCACACCTAAATTCACCTTCTCGTTTTCGGTAAGTCGTTTTTTTATTAGTGTAGAGATCTTTAAGGTATCTGGAATATCTCGATACTTTTCGGATTACCTCAAGAAGCGTAATATTTATTTCCACTTTTCGTAATACATCCAAGATTTCTCTCTCCTCTGATTGATTGTCTCTTTTATTGAATCTTTCAGGAAACAGAGGCGGAATGGCATAGGGAGATGGCGCAGAATTTGTTTTCGATTCATCTTTATTCTTTTCTCGGGATTTTACGTCAATTGTTTCTTCTTCCCTCTAGGAGTTCAAATTTTCTTCTTTCTTCCTGGATCTTGCGATTACTTTCTTTGGGTCTGGTTGTTTAACAATTGTACCGCTTCGGAGGGTGATGTCGCTAACATTCTCTATTGGATTCAGCTCAGTTTATGATGATAGCCTTCTTTGTGACTCTAATCTCCCCACGGTATGAGCTAATTGCCTCATATGCTTGTCTATCTCTGGGAAGTGGGCTTTAGTACGAGTATGGAATTTTCCTGGGAAAGTGCTAACATCTCGAAAATTGGCTCTAATGATGTCTTTTGTGGCTGTTGTGGTGGTGGAGGTGGTCCTGCTTGATAACCTTGATTCGATCATGAGTTCTGAGCATAACTGAAGTTCGGATGATCCCTCTATCCTAGGTTGTATGTATTACCGTAAGGATTGTAAGCTCTTTGGGGAGGTCCCGAAAAGTTCCCGACTGTATCGACTTGAGATGTTGTGTCATTTTGAATCAGTGGACAATTGTATGTCAGATGATCAGGTAATGCACATATTCCACATAACCTATTTGGTTATGTCTTTCCTGCAACAAGAGAGTTTACAACTTCAGTTAACTTATCTATCTTATTTTCTAAGAAGATGAACTTATCTCATGAAACCTTCGAGGAGGTTCATTATTTGCGCGTAATTATTAGGAGTTTATGACCATTGTGGAAATTAGGTCCTTAGCCTCAGTAGGAGTCATATTCACCAAGGCTCCACCGCGAGCAACATCGATCATCTTCATTTCCGGAGGAGATAATCCTTCATAAAAGTATTGAATGAGTGTTTGTTCAGTTAACCCATGTTATGGGCAACTAGAACACAACTTTTTAAACCGCTCCCAGTAATCGTAGAGCTACTTTCCTTCAAGCTACTTGATTCCAAATATTCTCCTTCGTAGTTCACTTACTTTCTCCGTAGGAAAAAACCTGTCAAGAAAAAGACGAGTAATTTGAGCCCATTAAGTAATAGAATTAGGGAGAAGATAAAATAACCACTCCTTAGCCGATTGGCTAAGGAAAAAAAAAGCTCTAAGTTTAATTTGGTCCTCGGTTACTCCTTGTGGTTTCATGCTGGAGCAGACCACGTGAAATTCCTTGAGATGTTTGTGTGGATTCTTGTTTGGCAATCCGCGGAATGTATGGAGGAGATGAATAAGGCCAGTTTTTAACTGGTATGGAGTTTCACCTTGGGGAAAATCAATGCACAAAAGCTCTTGTTCAGTAGGTGTCGCGGCTAACTCCCGGATAGTAGGATCGGCCATTGGAATTGATTTTGTATTAACGGATTCACCTGAATTTGATTCTTCTTCTGGATTTGATTGTTATCTCCTTTTTTTCCCGAAGCGTCTGTGCGTGAAGTCTCCTAGCTCTGGCTTCGATCTCTGGGTCGTACTCTACTAATGCGCCCGTATTAGTATTGGTCATAAATCAAAAGCAAACAAAAAATTAGTAACTTTGGCGAAGTCCCCGGTAACGGCGAAGTCTCCGGCAACGACGACAATTTGACAACTGTCGTTTTCGATGTCAAAATAAATTCCTCCTTCTCGATTGATAAATGAAGAAAATGCATAGTACAGAGAAGTAAGGGTCAATTATACAGGGACTTGAAAAATTATAAATTTATGTTTGATTTGTTTAAGCCAGGCGTGAATAGTAAATAAGGGGGTGGTTTTGGTAAAATGATTAAGTAATAAAAGAGTTCTTTTAAATAAAATGATTAAGGTAAAAAATGAGAAAATAAAGATTGTAAATAGATTTGGTAAAAACAGCCTCAAGTTTCGCTTTGACTCAATTTCCTTTAGATCATCGAATTAGATTTTCCCTTCGAGATTCACGTCAGTTACTTTGTCTACAGGGGCAATCCCCGTAACTCTATTTGTATACCGAATACCCAAGGCAATCTTTGATTCTGGCTTCTAAAATTGATTCTATCAACATCAATTGTCGTAGATTAATTACCGTTTAAGTTCGTGGCAACCGACTCTGATTGTTGCTTCTATAACCGTTAATTCCGATCTCAAATCCCTCTTAGTGAAGCTATCTCGCCAAATATGTTCCCACGAAGTCGAATGTGCTTTCTATAAGCCAAATCTTCATCTCACATGTTTAATCGCAACAACAATCTAGACCAAAGTCTATCTTTGATTTTGAAAACCGTTTTGATGTTGAAAAATAAGCACATAGATTGAGAGAGATATTCTGAAGATATTAAGGGCCTGTTTCAATTCTCCCATTGGAATTGAGTCATCACTTCAGTTCTCGGCTTAGGAAAAATTTAGCTAAGCATGACAAAAGTCATACTTAGCATATTAAAAACAAGGCTTGAAAATAAAACTAAAATGAAAAACTTGAAAAGTAAAATAAAAAGAAAGCTTTAATAAAACTAGAGAGAAAAGAATATTGTAATTTGAGTAATGAGTTTAGGCTTACCCCAAGAGGGTATTTATAGCCTCTCAAAGCCTAAGGATAAACAAAGAAAATAAAATAAAATAATCCTAAAGATAATTGTTTTTTTTCTAAATTCAAACTTTAAACTAGTCTCCTAATGCAACTTTGTTCGTACATCTTCCAGAAGGCGTACTGAAGAGATCTTCTAGAAACCGCCACTGACTGGACCTTCTAGAAATTGCCATGTCAGATCGCGTCGTGCCCAGAGTCGTGCACATGTCTCCAGCCGTGACCAAATAATAAAAAAATACAGAATGCGCTCGTTTTGTCACTGATTATGTAAAGTAAGGACCTACACGAAAATAGGCATAACACAACCAAATCAGCAGCAATAAATCCACAAAATTGAAGAAATAACGAGCAAATATTAACGATTCTAAACACTCATAAATAGGAAGCCAAGTTTTGGATGTTCATAAATGGCTATTTGTGTACCATGGACAACAAGTACATTATAATATATTTATGGGTAAACTGCACCAGATATTATCAAACTTCAAACGCTGATTTGTTTATACCATCAAACTTCCAATTTTAGCACTAATGTTTACTTTTAAGTGCAATTATATCACTCCGTCGTTAATGAGCTAACGAGACGATAACATGGCAGTCATCTGTCGTGACGTTGTTGACGTGGCTACCTTACCAAAATGACGTTGTTTTGGCACAATTGTTTTAATGCTCATAAAACCCAAAAAGATTTCGTTTTGTTAATGGGAAAAATGTTTTCCGTAAGATTTGAACCAATGATCCATTGGACTTGATAAGAAACAACCAACAACCAAGCTAACTTAAGAACTTATTATAATTCTAGCAAAACTAATATATGTTAAATAACAGTTTGAATTAATATCCTTTATTTAAAATTATTTATATATTTATATTATTTTATAATATATATATGATTTATAATAAAAATAATAATTTTTCAAAAAACCCTTAAATTTTTTTAAATTCTTAAATTTCCCCCAAAACCCAAAGCCCTAAGTACCAAATCCCTAATTTCACCTATTATGGTCTTCGAACCGATGGCCATCGCCCATCACTTCCATCGTCAGACCCTTACCATCAATTATCCCACTCTGGTGTCGTTGGAAATCGATAAATGGTGTGTTAATCAATCATCAAATGTTGAATGTGAAATACTCTAATCGAACCATGGATGATGACCAATCGATAAGCAAATGGTGAATGACGTGCACGACGAGAGGAGGAGGCTTCAGTGCGACGACAATGATGTGCTATCAACGATGATGGTGGGTGAATTTAGGGATTAAAATTTAGAGTTTATATTTTTTTTGAATTTTCAAGAATTTAGGAGTTTTTTTTGTAATTGATGGTTTTTTTAATTTTAATAATTTCATGAGGGTTTTAAAAAATAATATTTGAAATGCGTAACGTTGTTATGTATGTTATGTTTGTTCATATTAAAAACTTAAGTTGATATAGTGATTACATTTTAGCCTTTGTTTAAAAGATTTTGAGTTCAAACCCCTCAAATATAATATTTTATCAAATAAACATTTAATGATATAAACAAGTCAATGATTAAATTTTAATAATATCGTGTATAATTTACCCTATATTTATTCCCGCAATATACCTCGAAAATGTACATAAGATAATATATTTAATAAAAAAATTAGAAGCAACAAGTATCCCGAAAAGTCGAAAGGCAGAAAAGAATGGCGAAGGGACAAGAGGAGAATGGAAATGGCAATAGAAGCAGAAGTAGCAATAGCAGCAGCAGCAGCAGCTTGTTGGTGGAGCTGCCACTAGGCAAAGCAGCGGAGGGATTCGATATAGAGAAGGCAATATGCAGCCATGGGCTATTCGTGTTGGCCCCAAACCATTGGGACCCAATCTCCCGCTCCTTCTCTCGCCCTTTACGCCTCACTTCTCCTCCTCTTACAGTCATGCTCCGCATCTCTCAGCCACCCACTTCCTCCAGCCACCCACTTCCTCTTCCACTCTCCACCTCCGCGTTCAAGGTACCTGTTCCCTCTCTCCATCGCACCGTCACTCTCTTTTAAACCAGGTGACCAGAATGCTGCGGTTGTCGGAGTCCGAAGAAAACAAGTTGAGGGAATTTCGAAGCATTGTCGAGGCATTACATGGTGATGAAGAATTAGCGACCGAGTGTTTGAGGAGTTTCGGTGGGAGAGTGTTCAGGTCCCCTACTCTGTTTGAAGACATGGTCAAGTGTATACTTCTCTGTAACTGCCAGTATGTTATTTTTATATACACACTCTTATTCAGCATTTAAATTTTAGCCTCGTCTTCAACCCGTTTGATATAATGCCGAAGTCGTCATTTTATAGGTTTTCGAGAACTTTGAGCATGGCTAAGGCACTTTTTGAGCTTCAGTTTGAAATTGAACACCAAATTCCTGGTGTAAAGGCTGAAGATTACTTCATTCCAAAAACCCCTACCGGGAAAGAGTTGAAGAGAAAATTAAGGGTGTCTAAAGTCTCCATGCGTTTAGAAAGCTTCCTGTGACTAGCAAAAGCAGATAATTCAGAATCGGATCTTCAGCCCTCTCAAGAAATAGAAGCACCCTGTGACTACAAAGGCATGGGATTGGGAAGCTTCCCCAGCCCCGAAGAACTAGCTAACCTTGATGAAAGTTTTCTTGCAAAACGCTGCAATTTTGGGTACAGAGCAGGTAGAATATTAAAACTTGCGCAAGGAATTGTCCAGGGCAGTATTCAACTAAAGCAATTGGAAGAAGATTGCAAGGAAACAAACTTATCCAGTTATAATAAGCTAGCTGAGCGGCTGCGTCAAATTGATGGGTTTGGTCCTTTCACATGTGCACATGTGTATGGGGTTTTACCATGTGATTCCATCTGATTCTGAAACTATCAGGCATTTGAAGCAGGTAATTCATTCATTCATTACCCTATGCAACGTACCTTGTTGAAGGTACATTCTCGTGCTATTTGAACCCTTCGGGGTTTCCCCCTCCGACACTCACATAGAATCTGAGCAACTGCAGGTTCATTCAAAAAGTTGTAGTATAAAGACTGTTGGAAGGGATTTTGAGCTTATCTATGCAAAATATGCACCATTTCAGTTCTTGGCGTATTGGTAAGTCATCTAACAACTTTGCTCTTGCATACTGTTGCTAGCTCTGCTAATTTTTTATTTTCTCCTTTGAAATGTGATCAGGGCAGAGCTTTGGTAAATTAAGTGAGCTGTCTGTCTCTGATTATGAACTCATAACTGCTAGCAATATGAAGATGAAGAAGACGATAGCAAGGGCTAAGATATCTACCAAAGAGAAACCCTGATAATATATGTTTTTGTTAACAAAAATGATGGTAATAGTAATTAAATGATTTTTGCTCTTACTACACTTATTGAAGTATATAATAACTACGCCCATATGCCATATCCTTCTATCAATGCCTAGATTTGCATGTTTAATTTGACCATGCCATTATGGATTAGGGCATCCTACCCAACTGATTCCTTGTACAACTACTTTTTTCTAGTGGATTTGGTTTTTTATGCCAATATTAGTTCTTTTGTTCATTAACACATGCCTTGTTTAAGTTATTTTTTCTACTATAATTATGTTTCAAGTGTTACATAAATTTTAAAATCTTAAATAGTTTATTTTACAAAGATTATGTCATCGCCTTCCTTGGAAACAATTACTGTAGGTGCAAAGGATCTTTTGTGGCCAAAGACTGATAGCATTTTGTACCTTGACTCCAAGTTTCAGGTTGGTATTTTGCATTTTGCTATACAACCCTGAATGAAAGGTTTGATTTTTTTACTTCTTGATTCAAATTATATGTACCCTTTTACATTTAAAAAAGCTTTATTGTATTAAAAGAACTACTAATTTCATGGATAAAACAATCACAAAAATGGAAACAAATACATGTATAAACACACTATGAATATACACTCCGCTCATCCATTACTAAGTTTTTTTAAGGGTTTAGGTTTAATTGAAACTCGAATTTCTTCATTCAAATTATATTTATATTTTATGGATAAACAACCACAAGTAGCGACAACACAAAAATAAAACATGTATGAATTTACACTCCACTTATCCATTACTAAGTTTAGTTTATAACAAAAGAAAATATGTTCCTACGAAGTTTTATACTATACATTATATAAAGTTAAAAAAAATACAATTTACGGTTTTCATAGCGTGTTACTGAACTATATTTACCCATTCAGTCTCACGGTTCTGTTAAGAGCAACCAGGAGTAAGCCCTGGATCCATCATTGTATCCATTTGCGGTGGGGTAATTCTTTTTCGAATAAGCATTTCCACAGAGGGGCATGTTCTTTTCCGTCCACCCCTTGGCCTAGACTGAAACTGCTCATCGGACTCTATGAAGTCCCCCTGAGCAGGAAACGGTTGTCAAAACCATTAATATTTGTCCAACATGAAGAAAACCATCACAAAATACTAGAGGAAATAACTTACTGGAATATAAACATGTAGCGCCGATTTCTCATGGTTATCCCTAACATGCTTGTACGCGAATCTCATACCACAACCAGAGAAGCTACATGCAAAAGGCTCGAGTTCATCATGCACAGCCTTGAAATGCTGACGCATATTTGATTTCTGTAATAGAGTATTTATATAAAGGGGGAAAACGTTTACAACCAGAAAACAAATTTAGTAATCAAACTTAGACCAAAATAATCACATTCAACTTCTGCTTAAATGTGTAAAAAACATATTTGAGGTTCACAGCATCTTACAGTTGAAAATGTATGGAGGCAACCCTCAAAATCACACTTAATTCTTTCTGATGCAACATCTGATTCATGTGATCGAAGATGCCGCTTGATGTTCTTCTTAAGCTGCTTTGCCCCACATATTTCACAATTAACATATAGGTGGCATGATTGCACATGATCCTTAAGGCATTGCTCATTAGTAAAATATTTCATGCAACTTGGTTCAGAACAGAAGGCTTCCACCGAATCCAGCTTAACTGTAATAGTAGTTACAACATTAATCATACATGTAAATCACAACCTCCTAATTAAGACAGCTTGCTTTTCTTTTTCTTTTCTTTTCACTTTTTCTTTAAAAATAATAATTAAAGTAAGGTTAAATCTTATGATCTCACTCAAGTCATGATGCCCCAAATCCGAAGCTTTAATATAATTTTGAGAAATGAAGAACAAACACCACTTACCATGAGAATCCTCATGCTTTCTCAGCTTTGATGCAAATTTGAACACCTTTCCACATCCTACTTCCTGACAGACATACTGCTTCTGACTTCCAGGATTAGGGGAAGGTGAATCTTCAGCATGAAATTCTTTTACATGCCTTTTTCATGTTGCCTTGAAATGCAAATTCTTTGTTGCAGTTCTCAATTGGACAACTGAAAAGTTTTGCTTGGTGCTGAAGAAGGTGACGATTCAAGTGGTCTTTTCTCCTATAGCTGGCATGGCAATCATCAACTGAACAAACAAATGGCCTCTGTGACAAAAGAAAAATAAGTAGTAGAACCTACTAGTATAAGTAGCAACCAACGATAATCCAAACATTCAAACCTAGAAATACCACACAGCGTGACAGAGGCTCACTTGATGAAGCTTCTCAGGAGGTCTCCCAACCTGATACTGGTCCATTCAAGTATAACACTGTAGCCTCTTGCATGTTGGAGTTCTTTTTGTGGGATCCAATGCTTCACGCTATAACACCCATTGATATTTTCATAAATAGAATTGGCTCCTGCAAAAGTATCAATCTTTAATATACACAAACGCCCAAAAAAACAAACTAGTCATAAATCATAAGTGGCGTTAAAGTGCAAGACAAAATAAAATAACAGATTTTTCAAAGCTCCCTTGGTTGTTACCTTTGCGTTTCTCTGGTAATTTAACATTTGCATCTTCAAAATTTATGTCGCATATAACAAAAGCCAAATCATGTTTTAAACTGAGTTTTGTTACCCATGTTTGGTCAGTTAGATCACCGAACAGTATTAACAACCTGAATAAAAATAATTAATTGTACAAAAGTACCTCAAGAGAATGGCTTTGCATGTGTTGCTTCAAATGAGCAGGCTTCCTGAAAGTAGCACCGCATTCTTGACATTCATTCAATGAGGAAATATCTTCTTCTTCCTTTCCTCCATTATTTATCTTCTCCTGAATCAAACCCGATGTTGAAATGAATGTTTAGCATAAATCCATTTTTAAAAGGAGTAAGAAGAATCCATTGGCCGATTGCAAAAGAAAATTTGAATTGATAATGCAGAATCAAAGCAGGTACCGGGTGGTGGGTGAGGATGTGGGAGGTGATGAGAGACTTCTTAGATCTGCAAATTCCACAATGATCACAGAAATAACGCCTTATGTCTTTGAAGATTGGTCCTGATTCTCTTTCTCCTTTTTCTTCATCCATCTGATTACACTCTTGTTTTTCTCAGAAGATAGTTTTTCACTGGAAATTAATTGAGAATCACAGAGGGATAGCAAATAGACATTCCAATCTCAAATATACACTGAAGCAAATTTGAGACACTTGAATGAAAGATAAGAAAACCAAGTGCTATTGCTAGGTTGGAGGGCTTCACTTTCAATTTAGCCAGACACAAGACAAAACAAAGCTTAAGATTGAGCTTGAGCTTGAGCTCAACTCCTAACTTTCGGCTTTAAGCTCAGTGAGCTCAAACAGGTTTCATTTTTCTTACATGAGCTTCACTCATGAAAGATATCAAGCTACTTTAGCTCGCTCAATTGGACTTCTGATTTAGCAAACAACAAGTTCAGTCAATAAGCTCAAGCTTGAACTGAATTTTGCTTTCATATACTAATAGTTTTATAAGATCAGATTTAATAAATAATGGTATGTATCAAGGATTTCTCATAATAAAAATAAAATACAACCTAATTCACAACTTTTAAAAAATAATAAGTTTATTTGTTATAGAACAAAAGAAACACAACGTTAGTGAGTAGCATATAGCTCAAAATTAAAGTTATACTCTAATTTAATGTCATTTAAAAAAATACTTTTTAGCTCATACAACACCACAATAGAATGCTTGTCATGGATATCTTCATCCGATTAAGTATGTGATTCAAAATTCAGCAACATATATATGAACAACATAACAACAAATTTAACCTAATCCTGCAGATGCATGAACATAAAAAATTTAGCAGTCGAACGTCTACGAATAATCAGTACCTTTAAGAATCCCGACCAATTAATCTAAAATCCGCCTCTTAGAGATCTGAAAACTCAGATGTCGAAATCTAGGAGCAATTTCACTCTCCAGCCTTTCGTAGGTTGAGCTGCGCGTTTATGACGGGCAAGTGAAAAGAGGCAGAAAAGGAATAAAAGGGTTATAGTTTTGAAGTTGAAACCCTAATGTTTGAATCTACGCCGTCGTTTTAGTCTTCATAAAACAAGGGTAAAGTAAACTAGGGTTCGTTTGGTTCACGAAATGTAAGATTACCAGTGAGAATAAAAGATTACCAGTGGGAATAAAAGATTACCAGGGAATATGATTACTGAGAATGTTGTATTTTGTGTTTGGTTGGTTTAGCAAGAATGTAAGATTACCGTGTTTGGTTAAAGGAATAAAAGATTATTGAAATGTATATTTAACCAAATTGTCCTTATTATATATTTGTATAATATTACAAATTGTAAAATATTTATATATTTTCTTTAAAAAATTAAATTCATAATATTTATATATTTTTTTTACAAAATTAAAAATATAAAAAATGTTTAATGAAAGGGTAAAAAAAATTTTAACCCCTGAACTTCATATAAAATTTTAATTATAGATTTTTTTTTGTAAATCTAAAATAATTTAAGGATAAATTTATAATTTAATCTTCGTAGAATTTTTATTATTCAATGACATGAGAATGATATTTTTGAGAAAAAAAAATTTAAGGGCATTTTAGTCCAAAACACCGGTAATGTTACAATACCTAAGGGAAGAGAGGTAATGATATTCCCGGTAATATATCCCAAAAAATCTACTATTGGTAATAAAACATTACCGGAAATGAGATTCCCGGCCAACCAAACATGGAAATATGGGATTTCCATCCCATGGGAATCCCACAATCCTTGAACCAAACACCCCCTAAGTCACTAAACTATATTAAAATCATATTGGTAACTGAACTTTCAAATGCCATACGATATTCATTAAATTTTTTAATTAATTACAAAATAATCATTAAATTTATAAAACTTTTACAATTTATTCTAATTTTAATGATGATGATTTTATAATAATAAAAATATTAAAAAATATTTTATAATTTTTGAATTCATTAAAATAATTATTTTAATATAATTAAAATTACTAGTATTAGATATTTTTGTGGTTATCCTATACTAATATAAACTTGTATTATCATATTCTATCACTTTATCGATTTTAATTTTCTCAAACCCTTTTAAATCTCATCAAATTAAACACAAACAATCTTTTTCAGGAGTTTAAAGATTTTCTCATATTTGAAGTAAAGTTTTTATTTGAAAATCTAATGATTAGAAGTATTCTTTTAAAAATACGATCAATATATCTAAAAATTAACATCGTCAAACAACTATTAAAGGAAATTAAAATATTAAAATATCAAATATTTATACGATTCTTTTATGATTTTAAGTAGGTTTAGTAAAAAGTTCAAATGAGAAAAAAATACAAATAATTTGATATTAGCCTTAATATGAATAAAAAATCAATGATAAGCATTGATTGATCAATAATTATGGCAAAACTTCGACGTTAATGGGAATGTTTAAGTCCCAAAATAATGTTGTAATGCTATTATTTCCCCCAATGGGGTGTTTGCTACAGTTAAGTTTGATATCCCGGCGTCTTCAGCAGATGTGCATGGAAGCTTGGAGCTCTTGGCGTCTTTGCATGGAAGGTTGGATCTCTCGGCGTCTTTAACACAATTTCCATGCATGATGGATATGTGTGATTGATCTCCCGGCGTCTTCAGTTGGATTCTTTATAGGAACTATCGACGTCTTCAGTGCTGTGCATGGGACTGGACGTGAGAAATCACAGGTTGTGCAGGGAGATGTTGTTCCATGTCCCAGGGTGAGCACAGAAATCACGGGGTTGAGCAGGGGCTGCACGTCTGCATGGGGGGGTATGCACGTCTGTATCATACAATTGTTGGATTTATTACACGATTTCTCGGCGTCTTCTTCACATTTGGGTAAGGATTTCTCGGCGTTTTCGTGGAAATCTCGGCGTCTTCTTAACAAATAAATCCAATAATGAATGCACGGGATGAGTTACGAATGTGTTTATAAGAGACTGCTCAGGGCTGAGGCAATTCATTGTGAGCTTTCAATTACAGAAGTAGTGAGAGCCTGAGAGGGAGATCGATCAGCAGAAGCAAGATCACAGAGCATAGCCATCATCTTTGTCGAAAAATTGAGGTAATTTAAACTCAAGCCCTAGATCTCATTTGATTCTTATTTTAAAGGTTTAGGGTTTTATATTGATCTCATAATTTTAGTTTCATAAGTTTATTAATTTTGTGATTATATGTTGTTACACTATGAAATAATGATTTATATGTTGTTGCATAATTTGAAATAAGGTTGGGACCATTTTGGAGCATTTTAAAGTTTTAGGGATCGTTTTGTAAAATTTGAGGAATTTAAGGAATAAGAGTAAATTATTAAAAGTTGGTATACTATGTTGGAATTTAGTATTAGTATGCTTAATTGGTTAAATTTGCAAGAATTTATAAATTTAGGGATTAAATTACAAAGTTTGAAAATGTTGAGAACCAAATAGTAATTAGGGATCATTTTGTAAAATTTGATGAATTCAAGGAATAAAGAGTAAATTATAAAAAGTTGGTATACTATGCTGGAATTTAGTATTAGTATGCTTAATTGGTTAAATTTGCAAGAATTTATAAATTTAGGGATTAAATTACAAAGTTTAAAAATGTTGAGAACCAAATAGTAATTAGGGATCATTTTATATTTGATGTTTATTTTTTTTATTAAAGTAGATAACATGCAATTGATTATTTGAATAAAACAATGTAATAATTGAGTGTAATATTTAAATTTTTTTGTCTAGATTTGTTGAAACATGGCAGAAGAAAATGTTCTTTTGAGGCTAAATGGTCGACACATTTCGAGTCATTTGGGAGAACTGGTAATATGATCGACTTATTTTTTTATTTGAGAACGGTTTATTAATTCTAATTACATTGATTAACAAATTGCAGGATGACGAACAACAAGTCCTTCGTCCTCGACTTATCGACTGTGAGATGTCAGATCAACGTATTGTTGATAATTTGGTAAACCCGAGAAACCAAGAAGGCATTGGATAATATCCCACCAGAATCTTTTGATCACACAATATCATTTAGTCAAGTGGTTGGTGATTATGGTGTTACGCCCTACACTCCTCAGATGGGAGAGCATAGTGTTGGCGGGCATATATTTACAACACCGGAACATATGCCCTCTATGAATGAACAGGTTGGTTATGATGAACAAACTCCTGAACAAGTGCAACGATCACAACGAAACCGACGTGCGCCTCGACATTATTACTCAACAACACCCCGACACCGTCAAGAGTTGTAATCCTTATTTAAATTATTTGTATCAAATTTAAGTAATTGAATTGAATATCTTTATTATTATTAAATTATTAAAGTTAAATCATTAAAGTTAAATAATTATTATTAAATCATTAAAGCCAAGTAATTATTATTAAATCATTAAAGTTAAGTAATTATTATTAAATTATTTAATTTAAATCATTAAAGTTAAATAATTATTATTAAATCATTAAATTTAAATCATTAAAGTTAAATAATTATTAAATCATTAAATTTAAATCATTATAGTTAAGTAATTATTATTAAATCATTAAAGTTAAGTCATTATTATTAAATTATTAAAGTAAAATCATTAAAGTTAAGTCATTATTATTAAATCATTTACTTTAAATTATTAAAGTTAAATAATTATTAAATCATTAAAGTTAAATAATAATTATTAAATTATTAAATTTAAATCATTAAATTTAAATAATTATTATTAAATATATACTCGAGTAATTGAATCGAATATAATATACAAATTTTTAAAATAATAAGATTACTGCTGAGGTCTGTATTGTGGAAGGTTTGGACAATTTCTTTTTGAATGACCTTTAGCTCTACATAATCCACATCTCTTCGGTTGGCCTTTCTCTCTAATATGGATATCCATACTCGTATGAATACGAGTAGATTCTGGTCGACCCGTCAGACTTCTACGAAGTAGTGGATTTGACAACCATTCATCATGATCTCGATTATCCCAATAAGATTCATTTGGGATCGGTCTGAACTTATGGTTGTATATATTTAATATCCTTTGTAGGTGAAAGTACTCATCAACATAAGTATATGAATTGATTGCAGTATGCATACATGCAGCGATTGCATGAGCACACGGATATCTCCACGCCTAAAAGCGGCCACAATCACACCATCTTTTTCGTAAATTAACAGTAAATGATTCTCTATCTGCTACTTCGTTACGACGTATGCATGCGATGACAACAAAAGTATGTCCAATTCGATCGAAGTCATGAACATACATTGAGGTTGCCATACACTCCTTTGCTTTCATTGCTTCTACCACCGTCGAAGCCCAGATTTTACCGCGATTTATCATACACTCGATCTCTTTGCCTTTATCACACCAAACTTTAGCCAACCTAAAGTATGTCTCTTTCACCACACTCGCTATTGGTAGATGGCGTGTACCTTTTAGTACTGAATTAATGGTCTCAGCAAGGTTTGTAGTCATGTGTCCGTATCTCCGACCACCATCGTATGCTTGTGACTACTTCTCCCGCTCGATTTTCGATGCCCAGTTCCAAACGCGCTCATCTATGGCCTTCAAATCC